CATCAACTTCAATCCTAAATACAGTGTTTCAACTTCCAACACCAGCCTGAAGCTGTAATAAAGAATTCAGCTTTCGATTGAGGATCTTGAACTGCTTACCAGACATAAGCATGTGATCTGGAATATTCGCTTCCTCATAGTCAAACTGTATGTTAGCAAATATGTAGTTGTTATTCATTGAGTATATGAAATGAATCACATTATAGATTGAAATATGAACACAGAATGTAAATATGATCTGGTTGGCTCGATTACGCATTTGAAAGATACAGAGAAAAATAGAGTACAAGTCGAAGACTCCAAAATATTTTTCTAACCCTAGTACTTATCCCATATTTATAGGGATGTCAAAAACGTACAAAAAATACATAAGGATCTAAACAATACAACTTCGATAAAAACAATGTCGTTATGCCAAAATCAACAAAACAGTCTTCGACACTATGACATGACCAGGAATGCTTCGACACCTCAAAACCAATTTCGACCGCTACATTCCCCCCCCCCTTTGTGAGCAGTGTCGAACCTAAGTCATCAGCATCTGGACCGCTTGATGTATTACTCTCCTTATCTCATCATACCAATTGATAGTCCTTTGAATTTCTACTTTATCACCATCATTTTTTTTCTTGCAGCTATTCATTCGAACAAGCAAATTCGTACATTGAGAACTCGTATACTTTTCCACATCACAAACTTGGAAAGATACTTGGTGTTTCTTCCTTTCTTGTTTTTCCCAATAAAAACTATTCCCAGTGGCCTCACCATCTTCATAGTTTTTCAAACTTCCTGTCCCTTTTAACATTAACATAGGCACAGAAACATGTTTTCCCACTGCTAAAGCCAATTCGACATTAGTCATTACAAGACAATCAAAGTAATTGTCAATGAATAGCTTTATGTGTGCACGCCCAATTAAGAAGTCTTCTTCGCTTGTCATTTGGAGCTTCGAAACATCAACTCCCTTCAATATCCTTGCCACACTGATAAGATCGTGTAGATTCATTAATGGGAAGTCTGCAACCGAGAAGTCGAATGCAACATTGTTTGCTCGGACTGCATAAAACGAAAATTGTGCAACACTCCTTCGAATAAGACATCCTTAGAAATGTTGAGAACTCTTACTATTTTCACCAGAGACCAAACTTCCTCTTCTTTCTTTGCAAGGACAGCATGGAATCGAAGTTTCAACCTCATGAATTCTTCTTTATCTTGAAATTTGTCAACAATCTAATATTGACTACACTTGAACATCATTTCGTTAACAGGAAAGTCTAACTAATTGAAATTAGAGTTTTCAGTAGCATAACTCTTCTTGGGAATCTTTTGGAAATCATGCATTTCCCCATATAACACTGTAGCTTCAATAGTTTCATAGCAGTAATGTTTCGTATGATCACCATTTTCCAGACTAGGAGGGTCACTTTGCCTTTGACGAATAATGCTTTGAATTTGTCTTTGCCTTTCCATTTCTTTTTCTAATGCAACCTTCTTCTCTTCGACAGTTGCTTCGATGAACTTGATTCCCCAATGACAACTCCTTTCGTTACAGGCCACGTTGTAACCGTAGTGGAAAAAGTTGAAGATGAATTCTTGGTCAACGAAGTAGGAATTTGAGTACACATTACTCTTCCAACGACCTTCACATCACTCCCATCTTTTGATGAACCGCTTCCCCCCATATTAGCTTTCGATCCCATGCCAACACTCACACCTCCTTCTCCCCCTTGCACCCCTATGCGAACAGGTGGGGCATCAGTTAGCATCAGATTAATCAACTTCATGAGTGGAGCTAATTCAGCTTGTAGAGTAGACTCCAACATATGAAACTTCTGAGTTAAAAAATCTAGAGTAAGCAATGAGGATGAAGATTAACCAAGATTCAAAACAGACACCTTGATAGTATTCAATAGTTCTTTCAACTTTGCGACTTCATGAGCATCAAACTCGTCTTTCGAATCAAACTTTGGAAGTAAGGAATTATACCACTTAACCACATTTGTTATAGCATCAACAATTATATCCACCTTGGTGTGAAGAGATGAATAATTGTGATCAAGAGCTGCAACTTCCTTTTGCATTTCAGAACGAAGTTCCTCAATCTTCAGGTTCACATCCTCATGAACCTTTTTGACATCTTGAACAAACAAAATATGTCTTTCTTTTGCAACTTCTTCCAAGTCCTTGTGTAACATCCTAAAAATCACGACCAAAAATTTCATTTTTAATTATGAATAAAACCATAGTTACCAAAAATCATTCATAAAAACATAAGTCATAGTATCTCAAAACAATTCATATCAAAACATATGTCAAATATATCAGAGTAAACATCCCAGCCTAAAACATAATGGTGTTTGCAATGTAGTCATCCTGAGCTCTTCTCTTTGCTACCGGAAGTACCTGAAACCAAAACTGAAAACTGTAAGCATGAAGCTTAGTGAGTCTCCCTAAACTACCACATACAATACACATAATCACATATAAACATATTGTGGGCCCCGCCCATTCATCGAGCCCAGCCCGACATAAAACCATGTACGGCATCGGGCCCCGCCCGGCATCGAACAATGTCCGACATCGGGCGCCGCCCGACATCGAACCGTAGTCCGGAAAGCATATAACCATATCACCAATACACATATAACAAACACATAATCATAAGCATGTAAACATTCCTTGGGCATTGCCCGACATCGAATCGAGATACGGAAAGCATATAAACATTCATCGGGCACCGCCCGACATGGGACCGAAATCCAGAAACATACAAACACAGACACATGCAACAATCACAAAGACATCAAGCATACAAACATTCCTCGGGCATCGCCCGACATCGGATCGAAATCCGAAAAACATATAAACATACATCGGGCACCGCCCAGCATCGGACCTTAGTCCGGAACATACTAACATACATATACAGTCCGACATTGGTGCCTTCGACCCGTTCCTACAGGAGGAAAACTCACCTCAATGTCGGGTGCTAGCTGAAACGTCTCTGCTCCTGAATCAGCTCTACTCAAACCCCTAAACTGAACAACCTCTTGGATAGCAGTTCATACTCATAACCCCCTTAGGGTCAACTATGGTCATGGTTAAAGTCAAAGTCAAAGTCAACGCTCCGAGTTGACTCAACTCGTCGAGTTACCCCTTCAACGCGTCGAGTTTCTGAGAACCGCAAAATCGGGATTTCGCGATCCAACACGTCGAGTTCTTCCATGAGCTCATCGAGTTCTTCCCTATTAACAGAATCGGGATACTTCAATTCAACTCGCCGAGTTCCTCTGTGAACTCATCGAGTTCTTCAGTCTGCAAACCCTTCTTAATCCATTCAGCCATTATTCTTCAAATCCAAGTCCCATATTCCAGATTTGGGCCGAAAACACATCTAGGAGGGTAAAGTTTCCAACTTTACCCATCAAAACCCACTTTAGAAGAAATAAGCTCTAACCCTAACCCAAAAAGGTCAAGTTCTTGATCCAAAGCCAACTAAAACTACAAGATAGACCATGAGGTCATAGATCTAGACTCTAGGGACTAAATGATCATGTAAAGTCTTAAACTTTATTCTCATGCATGGCTATTAGAGCTCCAAAAGACCAAAATGATGGTCTAAAAGTTGCATGGGACTTCCATGGTCATAAAGTTGGCACCTTTATGCCATGAAAACCCCTCAAGGCCATAGGTTTGAAGTGTTCTTCACTTGGGACGTCCAAATCCCCACTTCCAATATACTTGGACCAAAACATTAAAGAAGTCATCCTAAAACTAGATCTAAGCATGCCATGGACAAGGTTGAACCTTATACCTCAGATGAATCATAAATGAGGCCCAACTTCTGGATCTACTCTCATTCCACATGTTATTGCTCCTCTTTCAAGCTTCCTCTTCTTCAAACTCATCAAGAACGCATAAGATTAGCTTACAATCACCAAAAATGGCATAGGGATTCAAGATTAGGGTTTTGGACAGTGGAGGCTGGAGATGAGGCCAACAACTTGGGGTTAAGGTGTTTAAATAGGGTGCAAAACCCCAGGATTAGGGTTTCATTTCTGCTATCCTACTCGTGAGTTGAGGCCTCCCAACTCGTCGAGTAGGTTTCTCAAAACCCGCGGTCCAAATCATTTTTACTCGACGAGTTTGGGGCTTCTAACTTGTCGAGTTTCTCTGTAATCATAAATAAATTAAAAGTTTAATTGTATACCAGGAAATAGACGTTACACCTTGACCACATGAGTGAAAGAATCAGACTGAGACTTTATTCTCAACTCACTGTTCTTGTTCATTTAATCCATTGTATGTTGCAAACGAAGCTCTTGTGCCTTAAGCGTCACATCTACTTCAATCCCAGAGAAATGATTTCTACTCCCAGCATCAGCTTGAAGTTGTAATAATGAATTGAGCTTCATGTTGAGAATTTTGAATTGCTTACAAGACATGAGCATATGATCTGGTATATTCTCTTCTTCTGGATCAAACTGAATGTCAGCAAAAGAGACCATTTCATCATCTCCTTCAGTGGTATCATCATAGACATATTTAGGGCCTATAATGGATTGAGAAGGAAATAATGAAGTAATGGGTTGTTCCAGGATGTTTTGAAAAGTTGGTGATGAAGTGTATTGAGATATTTTTGTAGAAATGGGAGTATGAAATGGTGGTAAAGAAGTAGTGGTATCAATGGTAGATGTGTCGAAAATGGATGAAATAAGAATAGTAGAAGTACCTTGGGCTTCGTTAGTCAACACCCCATCACCCTTGTTGACATTTGTGTCCATATCAGATATGTTCGCATGGATGCCTGAAGTTCAAACCTCCTCAGAAACTGATTCGACAGTCAAAACTCTGGGTGGTATGATTGTAGTCTGTTCAGGGGCGGATACCTGCAAAGAATCATCTTGGTTGGTGGTTGTGTCCAAATGAGATGCTTCCACATTACCACCAGGACCTCCAGTCTCCTTGAAAATCAACTTGAGTGGAGAGTCCCTCGACGGTTATGGAAAGTCAGTCTTGACCATATCATCTTGACGAATTGGAGACTGAGAGTTGGCACTGTCTTCAAAGTCAGTCTCAACAACCACTTCGTCCAACGGATCTTGAACATGCTTTTTCTTCTTTTGCATACTCTTGACCATATCTCTTGCCCTTCGATTTTTGGATGCTGGAGAAACTGGAGCAGGAATCTCATGAATCTTGATTCCTTTGTGTGAGAGTTGAAGTTTGTGAATTCGTTTTAAACCAGAAACCCCTTTTGGTGAGGACAAGGACTTTTCAGCAGTTTCTTCTTCGATAATAGGCTGCATAGGAGAGTGTCGAGGCCTATGATCCATTTTATTTATAAGGTTGAGAACCCCATACTTCGAAGGCATAACCTCCTTATCTGATTCTTGAACAACCTTCTCTTGAACAGGTTTTTTTGTTTCATTCTCAGTAGGCATAGAAGTAGACTTAACCATCTTTTTAGGAGAAGGATCAGGCTTCGATGGACTAGCCTTGGTAATATTATTGGAACCCTTAGTGCGTTTAGAAGTACCAACAACACCTTTCGCCAATAACAACCCAGTTTCAACTGAGGTATTGATAGTTTGAAGATAAGCAAGAAGAACGGAATCAGTAGGATCGACTTTGCGAAGCATTGCATCAGGAATCCTCGCAACATTGGGAAAATTTTCAGAATCATCCTCGACAACCTTAGGATGTTGGTAAATGCCAAACTTAGCCTTAGGATCATCAACAGGAAACATGATCCCTTATTTTTCATAAACATACTTCAATATCATGCTCCAATATCGAGCACAAGAAACTCCAGTAACAACACTAGTATTAGAAATACTATTCATAAACTCTTGCCACAACTGAGTTACATAATCAACCTTTAAATCATAGTATAATCTTGCGACCATAGCATAAATATTTAGTTTGACCTTATCGAATCCAACAGTTCGACCAGTTAGGCATCGAAGAAATATCCTAAAAAGAAAGTTCCATATACAAGGAAGAGATGATTTCTTAATGTCACTTATCTTGGTAAGCAGTGGTTGATGACCCATTTCGTTGAACATGTGAACCACCAGTTCATTTGAAACCTCATAAAAAGGTTCTTCGTTGGGTATGTTCAATATTTGAGCAAACTGCTTCTTTGTTAACTTGTACTTCTTCCCAATTGTCATTGAAAAGAAACCACTTTGGTCGTCTTATTGAACACAACAGTGGAACCAGCGAGCGACAGCCATGTCAATGGAACAGAAAAAGAGGCCGACATTGCAGTAGATGAAAGCGAGTGATTCAAAGCGACAATAAGCATCTGCAGTTCCTCACGATACTAACCAATATGAGGCTGAACTTGGAAATTAGTACCCTGAATCTTCCGTAATGGTTGAGATGTGTTGTCATCAGTGGTTTGAGAAGGATCAATTTCACATTTGTGGCCGCCATTGTTAGGGTTTGAAAGTTTTGGAGAGAATAGAGCATATATGGAAAGAGAATTGGGAAATTCTTGATTTTGATCGCGTAAAGTTGGAATGAGATTACCCAAAACCCTTTTATACGTAAACCCCACATTTGAATTTGAAGCGGTTTACCATTAAAACCGTTCCACGTATTTCCTTGTAAATCGGACCTATATCCATATAAGTAGCCACGTCTGAAAAGTGATGAGCACTTTTCCTTGAAAATCGTGAAGCAACCAAACTCTCACATCAATCAGTCATTTCGCGTGCCCCAATAGGATAAGAACCGTAAGAGAACTGTCGACATGGAGGTTGGGCTCTTTCGCTTTTGGGTTGCAAAGAGAAGTCATATGCCAGACCTTTCGATATCATCTGCCTGAGTTGGTATTACTTAGAACCTCAAGGATTTTGGTGTGTGCTTAAGTGTGCCAAAAAATGGGATGAGATCAAGATTAAAAAAAAATTAGATATGTGATGTCAATTAAAAATTCGCATAAATGCAGTAAGATCCCAGACAAAGATCACTTTATTCTACATCAAGAGAGATGTCGAACAAATTGTGTGGTTTCCCATGAATTACAATCGAATAATCACAGAGGAGTATTGAAGGGCTTATTTTATAAGGCTTCATGGGTAGACTGAATTTCGTTACATATCACAACTTAACATAAGTGTGAGAAATTGTAAACGAAATTACTTGTTTGACCAGTGTAGTCAGTGACAAGTATGCTTTGGAAAATATATCAAGTAACAAAGGATCAAACTGATATCCTGACTGAAATCATATTAAAAAAAATAAATGAGTAGTGGACCTTGTTGGGCAAAAATGTCGTGGGTGTCGAAAATTTTAGCAAGATCACTCCAAACGAAAGAATAAGATTTACAATATCGAAAAGAGATAATGAAACATGTGTTTCGTTAAAATCTTGAACATAAAGTTCACAGTTAGTTCCTTAAAGAGTTCGAAACTGTGGGTTTCACCATCATCACGGTCTCATGAATCCGGATCATAAACACAGACTGTGTACATGCCTAAATCCTGGTTGGTTTGAACCATCGATCGCTTGGTAATATGTCATTGTGTGTGATCGTGAAAGAATTTTATCATGAAAAATATTGGTATAAGAAACGAAATGTACCTTTTCTATTGTGGAACAAGTAGGAAACTCTTAACTCAATATGAGAAGAGTAAGGTAGCTCATTGACTAATGCGAATATAGCCTATTTGGAAAGGAGTTCTTATGATAAGAATTCCATTAAGGCTTCGAAACACATTGAGTCGTCGAGGCTTGGGACAACATGCTGCCGCATGCTTCTAGGGACACTTAACTAGTGCAAAGGATTGAAATTATACCTTTCCCTAAAGATGCAAAGCATGTTCCACTAGAGGACTTTGCTAATAAGCTGCACAAACAAGTTAACTAACAAAAAAAATGTAAAATATTTTTGGCTTTTTTGTTTTTGAAAAGAAAATAACAAAAATAAGAAAATCTTTTTGATATTTTGATGTTTGAATTGAAATAACAAAAATAAGAAAATCTTTTTGGTGTTTTTGTTTTTTAAACGAAAAATGTTTTAGACAAGCGAAGTGTAAAGTACTGACATAAAGATATAATTCATCAACACAATTTTTGTTTCTTGACTAGCGAAGAGTTTTCTGAATCGTTCAGAGGAATGTCAAAAACAAAGCATGTCGAACGCTGAACAGTGAACAGTAACTTCTGAATCAGTCAGCGGGAAGTCAACACAGCTTGATTTTAAGATGAAGGCAGGCTTGGAACAACACTTGCATCAATCATGCCTAAACCCGACAAAATCCTTAGAAAAGTTTTCTCATCCAAAGGTTTGGTGAATATATCAGAAAGTTGATATGTGGTCTTTACAAAGTGAACTTCAATGTTGCCATCTTCACCATGATCATTGATAAAGTCATAACAAAGTGCAATGTGTTTAGTCTTCGAATGTTGCACTGGATTAATGCAGATACGAATAGCACTTTGTGAGTCACAATACAATGAAATTTTCTTCATGTTGATTTCATAATCACGCAGTTGACTTTAAATCCATATGATTTGAGAAGTGTAAGCTGCAGCAACAACGTATTCTACTTCTACTATGGAAATCTAAACACATGTTTGTTTCTTTGGTTTCCAGCTAACAAGCTTCCCATTCAAAGGTTGACATCCGCCACTTGTGCTTTTGCGATCTAGTTGACATCCACTAAGGTCTGCATCCGAAAATGCTTTTATGAAAAACCATGTTTTCGAAGGATACCACAAGCCTAACGAAAGTTTTCCTTGGAGACAATGAAAGATGTTCTTAACAGTAGTAAGATGGGGTTCTCTGGGATTCGACTGATACCTAGCACAATTGCACACAGCAAACATAATGTATGGTCGACTACCTGTTAGGTATAGTAACGAACCGATCATGCTCCTATACAGTATGAGATCAACAGCCGACTTATCCAACGAAGGACCAAGTCGTGTGCCAACTGCCATTGGTACTCTCAGCTTTGATCTATTCGTCATACCAAACTTCTTACTACTGATTGATAAAAAGTTCCTTCTCTTCTTTGACGAATATCCAATCCCATAAAATTATTGATCTTCCCCATCATGCTCATCTCAAACTGACCCTTTATCGTATTTTCAAACTCATTTGACAAATTAGGATCAGTAGAGCCAAAAATAATATCATCAACATAAATTTGAACAAGCATGAGATAATCCCCAAATCTCTTTCGAAAGAGAGTAGGATCAACAGATCCTTGTTTAAATTTTGATGAATTTAAGAAACTAGTGAGAGTGGCATACCATGCTCTTGGTGCTTTTTTAAGTCCATAAACAACATTATCTAAAACATAGCAATGATCAAGGTATTGAGAATTTACAAAATCTGGTTGTTGCTCAACATATACCGTTTCTTCCAGCACTCCATTGAGAAAAGCACACTTCACATCCATTTGATTTACATCGAAGTCCTTGTGTGCTGCATAGGCTAAAAATATTCGAACAACATCGAGTCTTGCAACAGGGGCAAAGGTTTCTTCATAATCAATACCTTCTTGTTGCGAATATCCTTTTACAACAAGCCTAGCCTTATTTTGCACTATGTTCACTTCTTTATCAATTTTATTTTTAAAGATCCATTTTAAGCCTATTACTGATACCTCTTTTGGTTTCGGAACAAGACTCCATACTTTATTTCGTTTAAATTTAGCCAACTTAGATTGAATGGATACAATCCAATATGGATCTTCCATAGCAGCCTTTACTGACTTTGGTTCACTTTTCGAAATAAACACATTAAACATACAAAATTCTTGATTGGCATTGAGTACCTTATTCTTCGCACGTAGTTGAGCTCTAGTCAATACTCCAGCTTGAGGATCACCAAGAATTTGTTCGTGTGGATGACTTCGTGTCCATCTATCCATCGGTGGATATGCAGGATCAAAATCCTATGCTGCATCTTCGAACATTTCTTCCGTTTCAGAACCGTCACCTACATTAGACATATTATCAATCATATCAAGAAATACATCATTTTGAATATTCGAAGAATTTAGCAAAGATCCATTTTGCTCCCCCTCAACAATTGGATCAATGTGATTATGCTCCCCCTCGACATCGACATTCATTTGATTATGCTCCCCCTCGAAAGTATGCTCCCCCTCGTCATCATTAATCGAACTCAAGTGCTCCCCCTCCACTTGATCATTTGGAAAAATTGGCAGACTTTCGTTGTACGTTAGAGAATTCGTTGAAGAGGTCAAATCGGCATCATCATGTGTGATAGTCGAATCATCAGAATGCTACGAAGCTTCAGGTACTTGATTATCATCAGCATGA